ATCTCAGGTTAAAAAAAAAAAAGATCTTATGAAGCTAGAAACCCCAGAAAAGTATTTTAGCCTGGTAATAAGTTTCTAAGAATAGATTTGACTAGCTTGTTTTCTTCAATGCTCTTGAATTTGTTCCAGATTCTTAAATCTGCAGCTGTCGGTTAACAGGTGAGGGCTCTAAGAGGAGAATTCAAAGATTGTAAAATACTGTGATTCACAATTTTTTAAGTTGTAGTAAAGATTTTAATTCCATTCTTTAAGCAATGAACTTCACATCAAAAAAGGTCACAGATTTTTTTTTTTCAGAGCAGTTGGTAGTCTGATCAACATAGGAGACCAGAGAAAGTTTATCTCCTAGTTATTGCTCTACTTTCTATGTGACATGAGACCAAATGAAATAGAAACAGTATCACCATGTGGAGAAGATAGTACAGGTGAAATGTGATACTATATCAAGAAACAGAAGTCTTTAGCTCTAGTTTATACTAGTTTAAACATGTTTATACTTTCTCTATATGTTTACAAAATTTACATGAAATACTAACTTACTTCAGAGAATTCTATCACATTATGGGAAAAAAATTAAGACATGCTGATTTGGGCAAAATCAAAGTTTCAGCATCAGGAAGTCTAATATTGGCCAGTTTTTAAAAAGTTTTCGAGAAGTTCCTTATAACCATCCTATATTAAAACAACTTTTGTTCATAAAATTCCACAATCCATCAACACCATGAAGTGTCAGCAAGAATATTTCAACAAAAGCAATTATTGAAGGAATAATTACATATAGAGGGAGGAAACCTAAGGTCCCCCAGAGTATTTTGAAACAGGAAACATTGTTGACCTATTTTCAAATGAGACACAAATCCTTCAGTGTCATCTGAGCAGGAGATCTTCACAAACAGTGACCCAGAGATCTGAGCAAGCAGACTGCATAATATGACAGGTTTCTCTGGATATCACTAACCCTTTCTTGCCTGTGCATGGAGAATCTGAGTGCTGTAGAAGACTGAGTACCCAAGAGCTGTCAAATAACTTGCAAGAATCTCAAGAACCAGTTTTTACTGGTTCACCCAGGATAATGGAATTTTCCCCATTTTGAAAGTCCAAAGGAAATCTGATTGTACTATTCTCTTTTACCTAGTTCTCTACTACTATTCTCTTTCACTAGTTCTAATTTGTCTTCTAGATAAGCAAATAATCACTTTATCCGAGTTTCACAACATAGCAATGAGTAACTTTAGGGTCAAGATGATAGATTTTGGAGAGTTTCCATAGGAAAAAAAACAGACATTTTAAAAATACATTCAAAAATATAGATAATATAAGAAATTATATTCTTTGCAATTAATATAGCATCAGACAGACTTACATTTTTTAAAATGGCTATTGACCCCTGTTACTCATAAAAATCAATTTCAGATGAATAGCAAATCTAAATATGAAAATTAAAACAACAAAGCTTCCGGAAACAAAAATGAAAAAATCATTTCAGGATCTTGCAAAAAGCAAAGTTTGGGTGTCTAATCCCAAGGAGGAAAAGAAGATTCCCCCTGAAGAGAGGAGCACTGAGGTCAGAGGTTAGATCCCTAATAGGGTGAGCAAGTGATCCTGCATGGAACTGGCTGGGGCATGATGACATCAGCACCCAAGGAGGATGGGGAGATCTTCACAAACAGGAGACCCAGCCAAGAAGTGAGGACAGTGTCAAAGTAGAAGAGAAGCTCAATGGAGTGCTGAGCCCAGGTAGAGCAGCAGAAGGAGAGGGCACAACACACAGGAAGTAGGACTTTGCTCAGAGAAGTGACTCCATAATGGATAATGGATGTTGTGATTCTCATTGTTGGTAAAGGAAATTATAAATTTGGAAAGAAAAACCTAGAAAGAGTACTGTGGTGTTGGACTGGAATTGGAGGTGTCATGAACTTATGATTCCCGTTATATAGAGATCCAGAGAGTAAATGTGTTTGTGTGCAAATGTATGAATGCATGTTTGCACTTCTGTACAAATACAGACCTTCCCAAGATGGCCTGTGAGGAGTTACACTGCAACAGCAAATGCACCCTCAGCACCATATCCATTCTCCTCTTAAACTGAGGAGAAATGGCTGACCACAGGGCCAGGGCAAGGAGAATATAACTGAGCCTGGGATGTCTGGTTGTGTCAAGAAAATTAAAAAAAAAAAAAAAAAAAATACTTCGGCAATGAAGGAAACATGCCAAAAGTACATAGAAGTCTACTACACAAAAACAGTCCTTGGCCAAATTAGGGAAATTTGAACAATATAAATAATGTTAGTAGCAGAAGATAATACAATAGAACCTACTGAATAACAGGAAACACTAATCCATACAAAAAATATAAATAAATGAACAAAGTAAAAGCTGGTGATAAGGGGAATCTTTACGTAATGTAAAGTATTTCTCTACAAAATACTTATTAATTACAAAGGGAAACAAAAGTAACTTTACCAGAGAATTTTAGCAGGTACCACCTTAGTAAAGCCAATTAATGAACATCATCACTGAGACAAATCACAAATTAGACAACACATTCTCCTGTTATCTCTTTAAAAGACATCCTTTTTTCTGATATTTGACCTAGGATAGTTGAATCTCTTTAAATAAGAAAGAACCACAGGAAAAAAAAATTTCAACAATGGTATGGAATCTCAATCTAGTCTGTGGGCCTTCCTTAACTACTGTCTGTACCCACTGAAGTAGGAGCCTTCACATGGATTGTACTCATTCTCACAACAACTGGTCTCCTATGCTATGGATAGGTAAACTGAGGCTCAAAGAGGCCAAGTTATTAAGTCACTGTTATCAGTTATTAAGTCACTGTTACCCACTGAATTCAGAATAGAGGGAATTTCAAGTATAAGTTGTGACCGGTGGCAAGAGCTTTAAGTGGTCATGAATAATCAGATGAGACTTTCTCCACTTTTCACAAATGCTGTAAAATGCCCCCCAAAGAGCTGGACCCACCACTCATTCCCATTTTTTAGAAACATGTTAATTATCTGTACCAATTCCAGATTCTCTTTTCAAATAACAGGGTTACCAAATTCTGTGGTTCATGTGAGGCCCTTAACAAGGGGTGTTTTCTGAAGTGTGCCATTCTTGTGGTAGGCATTTTCATTATTTAAAACATTTTTCTGAATTTATTATAACTTTGATGAATGTTTAATATACTAATTACAATAATTTTCTGACAAATTAATTGGGTCTTGTTCTAACTGAAAATAACATGATTTCATTTCCAAAAGAGAAATGAGTTTGATCACCAAGAGGCCTGTTGACCTAACACCTAAAATAAGCTGTCCGGCTTACTAACAAGTCCCTTTTATGATGAACTAATTAGAAGTATCTTAAACTTAAACAAGTCTCTATTGAAATAAGTGCACTGTCTAATTTTGCAAGAACTATCATCATCTGTTTTTTTCCTGTTTTTTTTTTTTTCTACCTGGTATGACTGAGCCTTCTTATTTAAATCCACACATACTTTCTATGTAATAATCAACACTCACTTGTCATCTGTTTTAGTCGGTTTTTTCTCTGCTGAGACCAAAAGACCAGACTAGAACAATTAGGGGAAAAAAGTTTATTTTAGGGCTCATAGATCTCAGGGCTCAGGTGAGGCAGAACATCATGGCAGAAGAGTGTGGTAGAGGATAGCAGCTCAGTACAAAGCAACCTGAGAAAGTAGAGAACTCCACTCACCAAGAACAAAATATATACCCCAAAGGCATGCCCCCAGGGACTCTCCTCTTCCAGCCACAGCCCACCTACCTACAGTTACCACCCAGTTAATCCCTATCAGGGTATTAAAGCACTGATTAGATTAAGACTCTCATAACTCAACCATTTCATCTGTCAACTTTCTTGCATAGTCTCACACATGAGCTTTTGGAGGATACCTAATATCCAAACCATAACACCTTCATAATCCACAAATATTACATAAGTTGGAGTTATTACAGAATATTAAGTTATGCTATTTATTATATTACTAGAAGTTAATATTGCATAAAATATAATAATTCATTATAGAAATTTCATTAGCATACCATTTAAATTTTTTTAATGTAATGGCTTTCTTTTCTTTATTTAGCTTTTTATTGGTGCTTTATAGGTGTACATTAGGATGGGATTTCTTGTTACGCATTCATACATGCATGCCATATAATTTGGCCAATATCACTCCCCAACACTTCCCCCACCTCCCCTTCTTCCACTCCCTGCTCCCTCTCCTCTACTGATCTCCCTTTGATTTTCATGAGGTTCCTATCCCACAACTTTTATTTTTTCTTTTTTCCTCCCTAGCTTCCACTTAGGAGAGAAAACATGCAACCCTTGACCTTTTGAGTTTGGCTCATTTTACTTAACATAAAGGTTCCAGTTCCATCCATTTTCTTACAACTGACATAATTTCATTTTTATTTATGGCTGAATAAAACTCCATTGTGCATATATGCCACGTTTTCTTTATCCATTCATCCATGATGGACACCTAGATTAGTTCCATAGATTGGTTATTGTGAATTGTGCTGCTATAAACATGGGAATGTAAAGACTTTAATCTACATTCTCTTTTCAAAATAATGCAATTTATTTAGAGTAGTGATTTAACAGACACATTAAAGTTCTCAAAATTATAATGTATTAAAATTGTCTACAATACCATAAATTATCAAATCTAAGAGTAAGATTTTCTTGTAAGAAACAAGAAATTAGAGCAAATGAACTTTGAAACTATCATAAAATTTCATTTCTATTGAAGCAAGCCATATGTTAATTATATAACAAATTATTATATCATAGTGACTTTAAATTCTTTATGACTGTGATTTAAAATTTGAATTTTCAGTGACTATATTCTATGTGTAATGGTTGATATTGCAAAATAAATATTATATACTAATTTAAATGCTGCTCAAATCCCTAAATGCTGAGACCACACTGATGGGTGGGTTGAAATAAGAGGAATAAAACGATAAGACAATGAAATGGCGGCGTGGCAGAAGCAAAAAAAAAAAGGTGAACAGCTGTCCCCAAATGTCCCCCTTTCTTCATACAGCTTTGGTCCAACAGGTGATATCTTAAGTCATCATATAATCAAAACCAAGTGCTGTTCAGCAGGAAGGATGCGGGAGAAAACGCCCAAGTGGGATTGTACCCTGGATTTGGGAAAGAGGAGCAAAGGGGAGGTCCTTCCCACCTCGCAGATGTCCTGGGCACTGCTGGGTGGGAAAGTGTCTGAAGGGCCGGAGCAAGACCCACTTGCGCTCGAGGCAAAGGGGTGGGGGTGGGGCGCCGCCTCCCGGTCACCCAGTTACTAGGCAACGGGATGCCCCAGCGTGAAGCCACTGAGGGGCTAGGCAGTTGGTGGAGAGATCTTGAGCAGCAGAAATGAGCCCCGGTAATAACGGGGCCAGGGGGCTGCTCCTCTAGGGGGGACCCTGGGAAGTGGAGGGTAAAGTAGAGCGCAGCTGGGTCGCTTCACCCCTAAGCCGCAGGGATTTCCCGGGTCGTCTGGAGCGCGGATCTTCTTAACTAGCCGCTCATCCCCTGCTCTGCCCCAGAGAAGCACCCACTTCGCTCCCCGCTGCCGCTGCGTGGCGGCAGCGCGCCCTCCGGTGGCCGCAGGGGGCATGGACCACCTGGCTGGGGCTCCTGGTCGGCTCCACTCCTCCCAACGGAACCAAAGACCTTGCTGGGTTCTGTTACAGAAAAGCACACTGAGGAAGAGGACGCGGTCGACTCCGTTCTCCTTTCAGCGTCCAAGATCCTAAATGCCTCCGAGGGGTTAAAAGAAATTGGTGGCAGTGAAACAGGTAAAATCTTCCAGGCCAAGTTGCTCCTATGGCAATGATGCTACATCTGTACTGCATACAGACAACCGGCACATTGCTTAAGTCCACTGGCCCGACGGATGCACTTAGTAACTATTATGATACTAACGATAGCCACATACCACTCTAACCACGTAAATGTATCCATTCATTCGATCCTCACAACAGTCCTATGAAACAGGTACTATCCATTATCCCCACTTTACAAAGAGGTTAACTAACTCCCCAAGGTCACACAGGTAGCAAAGGATAGGGTCAGAATTCAGCAGGTTGTCTCTAGAATACAGGTCTTAACCAACACTCTACTATACTTCATCTTTAGATGGCAAGTATTGAGGTTTTTGGACAGACACTAAAAAGATACTTCTTTTCTAAGAAAACTACTTTTCACAGTAAATATTTGTGGACTACAGATTATTGTACAGGGAGGATGTTTGAAAAAAACCAAGTGGCTACAGTTTTCAAACTTTGCATGAACCGGGAATAAGGTTGTGTAAATATCCAGGTAAGGAACCCGAGGACACTGAAGCTGGAGTCTCATTTCCTTGAGAGAAGCCCTCAGTGATTATGCGCCTGTGGCTAGTGTTCAGGGGGACATGCCAGGGAAGGAGCAGAACACTTGAGCAGAGGCAGTACCTAGACAGACTAACAAAGTGAGGACCCAGTTGCTGATAACCCATGTGCATCATATAGATATCCAGAAGCAGAAAAGTGTTCAAATAGAAGCTTGAAATGGGAACGAGATTTCTGCAATTTCACAAATCCAGAACCTTCACAAATGCCTCGGCAAGGTCCCTGAAAGAAGAGGCCAGAACAGCCGCACCTCAGTAGACGAAAGACAACTGGATACTCAGTCACCACCAAAATGAGAAACATCAAGTGGAGGCCAGCAGGACCAGTCTCCTATCTGCTCTTTGGCCCACCCTCCTCCATCCATGAGACTCTGGCTTCCTTGGAGAACTGTGAGGGGTAAAAGGGACAGGAGAGAAAGAGTCCTCCTCACAAAAAAACTTAAACATTAAACTGGCCCAGTATTTTACCTCCAAGAGAGTACTTAAGATTGAAGAGATGGGGATACTTCAATTTGGCAAGACTATGTGCTGTCTAGGGCGCTGGAGAAAGATGCCAATATTTATAGAAAATGAAGTTACTTATAAAATAACACAAATACTTGTTTACAAGTTACAGTCTCTCTTGCGAGAGCATAGTGTTTACAAGTGTAGGATATAGCACAGGACAGGTACTCAGTAAATGCTAGATATATCAAATCAGGTACTGCCAAGGATGGCTGGATTTGCTACAACTGAAGGCACATTAGGAGGTGTGACTTTGGACCCTCTTTCTGTATTGTCTACACTTCACTGTCACCAAGTGATCCATTCTGATTACTAAGCAACAAAATATTTACTTGATTTGCCTAAATAGTGCTAATTATTCATGCAAATAAGAACAATGAGTTCACATAATTAGCCTTTGATTCATTGAAATGAGTATATAAAGAGATACTCTTGAACTTCAGGATGACCAACATTTTTTTTTTCTAGGACCTCTGTCCTACCCAAGTCTTCATTCATTTTGTTTGTCTGCCAAACAAATATTTCTGAGCACTGCTGTGTATCCAGGGCTGTTCTATCTATTGGGATCCAAGAGTGAACACCATATGTAAGACCCCTGCCCATATGAAGCTTACCTCCTAGTCGGGGGAACAGACAGACACAGGATATTGTGTGCAAGATGGCAGTAAATCTTATGGAGAAAAGTAAGGCAGAGAAGGAGGTGTGGAGCATGTGCAATGTCAGAGGTGGGTGGGGAATGTGCAATTTTAAATAGGGCAGGTGATAGGAGAAAACACCTCTCAGCGGGTCACATCTGATGGAGATCTAGAGGAGGTGAAGAAGCAATCACTGCACAGTTTTAGGGAAAGAGCCAGCAACTGCCATATCCTGAGTCCAGAGAATGTCAAGACCATGTGTTGTCCAGGGCGCTGGAGAAAGATTGAGCTTTATTGAGCATTGACGACATATCGTGTACTGGATATAAAGGCTCTACCAACAAACTTGCCTAGAGTTATCCCCTCACCTTGTTTGTGGCAAAGCCAGGACTCAAATCCAGGCAACCCAACTCCATAGTTCATCGCTCTCACAGTTGTACAGAATGTGCCACAACTCATGGGCCTCCTACAACAAGTACTTGAATCATTGTAGCAAACCTAGTATTTGAACCTGAGAATTACAAATCTTTGAAGCTGAGAGTCATTGCCATGTTTCATTTTTAAAACTCGTTTGCTTCCCTTACTTGGTTGGCCAGAGGTATGGCCCTAATACCTCCCACAAACACTCAATATGACTTAACTTTCTGCAGCCTTTTAATAAATCCCTTAATGTTCACATTATATCTCAAGTCACTCCACTGATCTTTTCTTTTTTTTTTTTTACTTTTGACACTTAAATATGAGATAGCTAGAGAATTTAAGTTGAATATAATATGAATATTTCTTGCATAGTCCATAGACCATAAGCTTCTTGAGGGATGGGACCTATCTTCCACCTCATCTAAATGCCTCCTAATACCATATGTTCAACAGGAACTTAAGAGGAACATGTGATTATGTGCTATGATAATGTCTATCTGGTTCTTTGATAGTGTCTGTGTTGCTCTTTATTTCTGAATTTTAAATTACCTTTCCTTTGGGAATAAGTAGCAGCCAAAGACTCATAAGAAAAACAAAGGGTATTTTAATAGCTTTAAAAATAGGTGAATCCAACTTTCAGCCTACTCTCTGCCTGTAGTGATCATCTGGACATTGCTAGAGAAAAACACTCATTTTTGAGTCATAACATGAATCTAAAAGGAGCGTTCAGTGCTGTTTGGCAAACTTACTTTATTGCCCCCAACAAATTCTTTTTCAAACCTCTCTCTTCCAAGATAGTCATTGCACTCCTCTTGTTCTCAAATCCCCAATTCCTCTTTCCACCACCTCGCAACTCATAACACAGCCCTTTGCTATGTGAGGAAAGTAGAAGCAGTAAGACCAAAACTCACTCACCCTCCACCTTCACCTTGCTTACCTACCTCCATCGTTACCCATATGCTCTGCCTTCCCCCTGCTTCAATGAAAGAATTGTACCTACTTAATCAAAGATTAAGTAGGGATCCCTTCTCTTCTGGAATTCTAAAGTACTTAGCTGAATTAAGTTGCTGAATAATGAACCACTAAAACAAGAAACAACACCACATACACACACACACACACACACACACACACACACAAAGCTGAATCATGAAGTTATAAAAATCCTTCTAGACTTTCAGTGAGAGATTTTAGAGTGAAGAAAGATGACAGATCTTCCTTCCTTAGTGTCAAATGAAATGAACTAAAAAGTGCTAGAAAACGAGCAAAAATTTCACTAGCAGCACCTGAAGAAGGAAGGGGGCACTCCCTTAGGTCACAAGATCAGAAAGTGGAGGCCAAAATTAAAAACAGAAGGTCCAGGCAAGCCAAACCATTTCCTGGCTCCTGATTCTGCCCGATTTGTAGAAGCAATAAAGCAAGTCAAAATCCTGAGAATACTCTTGAACATCCCCAACCCATTTGTGAATGAAAAAAGAGAAAACACCTTTCTGTAGGTTAGGATTCATATGTGTAGAGTGTAGCAACTTCTGGAAACAGATGGGTACACACTTGGAGATTGATTAACAAACAGGAATTTACTGTAAGAAATGCAGAGGTTCTGGGTGGTTCTGCCACTAGCCCATGGAATGGCTTTGTGGGGATTTTAAAGAGGCCCATCCTCTTCTGAGTGGATGCACACCCACCCCAAGTGCTGGTTAGTTGAGTAGAAAGAGCATAGGATGATTTGAGCCCCACACAGCCTTTTGGCCAGGAACCCTTGTCCAGTAAACAATCCTACATGACAACCCCAGGTCCAGGGCTCTGAATTGAGAGAATTGAGAGAATGAGCCAAGTCAGAAGAGTATTTCCTCAAGGAAGGTGCATACTACCACTAAATTTCTAACCAAAGTCTCAGGGAATACCACCAAAAGTATCACCAAAGAGACCAAATCCTCCAACAAAGCCTGTCAATACTGTTCCGAAAGATTTTTCCTTTTGCAGACAGCTACACTCAATTTTTACCCTGGCCCTGAATCTATAGCTCAGAGGGATAGACTAATGGGGGCTCATGGAAGGATGTAAAAAAATAAAAATCTAAAATACTATTCAAAAAAACAGAAATTCTGAACAGAATTGTCAAGGTCAAGTTAAACATGAGCCATATGACAAGAAACAGCATGGTAACTATGTAATTGTACCGTGGCCAAAAAATGAAGAGATGGAAGATAGAAAATATAGAGAGAAGCAATGTATAAACCCCATTGTGTTTTCTTAAGAATCTTTTCTTTACTATATCACTTCACTGAGTCTATAGGTTTCTTTTGAACCATTATTTCTTCCTTGGTTTTAGCAAAAGGAATCCTATATTTAGCTTTGAACTTGTAAGTTCTTCTAATAGAAGAGGGCGGGTATTGCTGCAGGAAGGAGATGTAATTTTGAACAGCAACACCATTAAGAATAAAGAGGAAGACTAAAATTATTTCCAAGAATAATATCCTATCTTTGGTATTTAAATAGTTTTATGAGTATTATGGTTACAGAACAGAATGTAAACATCATGAAACTTCACTATGAAAATAACACAAACAGCGAATATCATGAAAAGTGGGGGTAGATGTGGAAGGAATTATAATGCTAGCTTTCTCATTTTTCTTGGGAGGAAGTAAATCAACACTGATTCACAACAGAAATAAATGTTTTAAAAACATGATGATTCTGACCTCTTATTCATGATATATTTTCTTTCTTTGAAACATTTTTCTTAACTGACACATAGTAACTATTTGTTTATGAGGTACAGTGTGGCATTTTTATATATATATATATATATATATATATATATATATATATATATATATATATATAATGTGTAATGATTACCTCAGGGTGATTGGCACATCCATCACTTCAGTAGCGTGTGTAATATGACCCCAGAGCCCAATGAAGGATAAGTACCCAAAATTGACAATGTTAGTTTTGGGTGGTGGAATTCCAGATAATATCTTCTTTTTGATTTGCATGACCTATTTGAATTCATTAGAAGAAGATATCTGAGTGAATAAAAAACTTTGAGATGCCTTCCTGCCTCCATCCCAGCCTTACTTCAGTTTGTTTGTTTGTTTCTTTCTTTCTTTTTCTTTTTTCTTTTTTTCTTTTTTTTTTTTTTTTTTTTGCCATTTTATTCCCAGTTAGATGCAAAGCTAAGCAACATCCTGGTAAACACACTGGCCCTCTCTGTCTTTGACTGAGGTGGCATTCTGCAATTGGTCACACACATCTCCAGGCTCCCAACCAGTTTGGCCCTATCAGTGATGAAGGCCAAGTGACAAAGGAGTTGGCAACCAGTTTCTACAACACCTAGCAGACTACCAATCCAAAAGAGGCCTCTTAATTAGGCACAGTGGAACATGCCCATAATCCCAGAGGCTCAGGAGGCTTAGGCAAGAGGATCACAGGTTTGAAGCCAGCCTCAGCAACTTAGCAAGATTGTAAGCAACCTAGTGGGACCCTGTCTCAAAATAAAAAGGGCCAGGGATATAAATCAGTGGTTAATGACTCTGGGTACAAATCCGTGATACAAAAAAAAAAAAAAAAAAAAGAAGAAGAAGAAAAAAAACTCTTTCAAAGCCCTTATGTAAGGGCAGAACTTGTTGGGCTAGAATTAGCCTAGAAGACCGTTCAATCTTAACTCTCATTTCATTCAGTTTTTTTTTTTTTCACTTCTTTAATTTAAAAAAGAATTAACGCAAGTTGCCTAACATATGAACAAAGAGGGATATATGTAAGGAAATTTGCACATATCACATAGTCTCTCCCCTGTTGTATATCTATAACCTATCTTCCAGGAAATGTTGGGTATGTGATAACTATTCTCTATCGTCAAGAGAAGCTTGAGCACTTTTGTCCACTCTGTGTTGGTATTGGAAGCACCAAGGAAAAGAGAACTCAAACACTGGATACAACTACATTTGAGTCACAAAGCAAAGACAGGTTCAAGATAATTTTCTGCAGTAGCTACTGAACTCCAATGGCCAGTAGGTCACCGTTGGTAACCAATGTAGGACAACTGGTCTGCACACACCCCTCCTGTGCTGTAGCAGAATGCCCCACTTCAAGGAGATGGTAGTGTATTGGTCAGGGTTGGTCAGTTTTCATAAAATGCACACACTTGAGTCTCACCCATGGCCCATGTGGATAGTGGAATTTGGGTTTCCTCTATGTGTTGTGGGCTGGCTGCAAAATACAGTTAAGAAAAGAAGGTGGTGAAAAAAACCACATGACACTGAAAGTAATTTTGAAAAGCGAGGGCAGGATGGCTCTTTGACCTTAAGGGTTGGGCTACCACACTGGAAAGAGAGAGTGAGAGCCCACATTTGCTTTATTATATGGGGCAAACTTCAAAGGTTTTTCTATAGAATGTTCTTCTGCCAAATAAGCTAGGCAGTGGGCTGTCCAGCTCCAAATGGGTTACGCCCAACTCTGGAACTACAAGATGGGTCTCCCTAGCCAAGGGAAGGCAGAGGTCAGTGCATTGAGCAATCCATTAACTGGAAGGAGCCACAAAATAGCTTGCAATGCCAAACCCGTGAAGATGTTCAAATAGCTCAGGGGAGGCCCTCCACACTTGAGCAGAACAAAGAAATACACATTGAGGCTAAAATGGGGAAATGTGTCAGGAGCTGTGGTGTATGCCTGTAATCCCATTGACTCCAAAGGTTAAGGCAGAAGGATCACAAGTTCAAGGCCAGGCTTAAGCACTTTAGGGAGACTCTCAGCAACGGATCAAAGCTGTCTCAAAATAAAAAAAAAAATAAAAAGAACGGGGTATGTAACTCAGTGGTAAAGCATCCCTGGTTTCAATTCCCAAATAAATAAGTAAAATGGGGGAAAAATATTTCCACACAAGGTGATAAGTTTAACATAAACTGTGAGCACTCTGTTCATAAGGAAGTTCTTACGTGGCTGAGAGGGGACCAAAGGACTATGTACATTGAATTGCCTTTCCCAACAGAAGGAACATGTGGATCTTTCTAGTGCTTTGCTTAATAACAAGGCTCACAGTATGTTGTTAATCCAACCTGTTCTGCATTAAAAGGGGGAAAAAGTCACATTACAATTTTATTAAACTGAGAACTAATACAGTATCCTGCCAAGTCTCCCATGATATGAGGATTATTAGTTTGTTTTTTCACAAAAGAAATGTAGTCTGTATCTCAGAATCAAGGATATTTGAGCTTTTAAGATTTTTCAAGTTAGGTGCCGCAAAGTAGTGGTTTATTATAAAAGTAAAACCATAATACTCAAGTGGGTATTTTAAGTCAAATGAAAATTACTTCTTAAATTTGTGATTACCATAATGTCAATGTTAAATATTCTCATTATCTCATTGTCTTCCTATCCAAGAAAGTTAGGAATTTGCTATGTTTATTTATTGAGAAATAAAATTTAAAAATTAAACCACATTTTTTTCAAATTTACTTCTCAGAATATGGCTGCATATCAGAATCTGAAAACCAAATCCAACCACAGTCAGCACTGAAAGTGAGTCTATTTCATTTTATTAGCTCCAAAATCCTATGCAAAGGTTGATCTTGTCTGGAATAAATATTTCCCAAATGCTTGTTGGTTCTTCCACTTTGTCTTCACAAAAAATCTTTATGAAAGAGCTCTGGAGAGTCAGCAAAATGACTAAGAATTTGAATCACCTGACTCTCATATGATGCTTTCTGATAATGGTAACATTAGGGGATATAAAAATCAGAACAATCCAAGATTATGTTTAGCAGCCTAAAAATATTCAATTTAATACTTTGTTTAATTTCATTATAGGTCCTTCAGCATCAGTTAGAATCATTTCAGGCTCTGCGAATACAGACTTTGCAGAATGTTAGCATGGTATGGTTCTTTTCATCTCTCTATAGGATACATTGTGACTTAACATTTATCTTCCCATCTCCTAACTACAACTACTTAGCCAGTGGATAAACTGATGTAGAATTTAACATATTAGAAGCCATGACATAGTTCAAGCTCAAAATTGTTTTGAGGAAACTACATTCTCTCTTTTATACTTATTATTTGGATATAAGGCAAAAAGAAAAAGCATTAGCTGAGTTCTAAAGTGCTATTTATACACAGTCAACAAATATGGACCCTCATTGAAAGGTTTAAAATATAAGTCAAACTGGCTTAGCGGGGGAAACATACTCTATTACCTCAAGTAACCAAAAATCCTAGAAATAGCTCACTTCAAGATGGCTTCATGTATATGATCAAGATTCATGAGGTTGGGGTTGTGGCTCAGTGGTAGAGCACTTGCCTACCATGCATGAGGCACTGGGTTTGATTCTCAGAACCACATAAAAAGAATCTATTGAATCTATCTACAGCTAAAAATATTTTTTAAAAAAATTCATGTTATCAGGAACAAGTCTCACTCCATATCTTGCTTTCCAGGAGTGAATTCTCAGACTTGATATGGTGACAAAGGGATGCTAGGAGCTCTGAGACTTTATTCTTCCAGATCAGAGTGGAAAAGAGAAGAAAGCCATGCTTGTTCTCTCCCTTAAGGACTTATACACCCAGTGTTCTTGTGCTAAGAGGAACTGCAGGGAAATGGAAGAGAAGACAAACTCTTCTGCAGAGTGATAGAATGTTCTGTTCTGTTCTGATGACAGAGATCAAAGATCTCATATTTACTAAATAATGTAAAAAAATCAAACACCTAAAATTATTTTAATATAGTTCATAAAATGTTACTGGTTCACTAAGTTATCTTTCTGATTTTGTTATTAAGAAAGATAAAAATTAGAACAATCCAATTTAATTTAATTTTCTTAAAGCCTCCTTTAATGATTCATATTTACAATAAAGTAAGCACACTTAATTTTATATTCTCTGTGATGGAAAGAATTTTTATGTATAGAAAATGAAAAAATATGGGCTGGGGCTGGGGCTCAGTGGTAGAGCGCTTGCCTAGTATGCACGAGGCACTGGGTTCCATCCTCAGCACCACATAAATATAAAATAAAGACACTGTATCCACCTAAAACTTAAAAATAAATATTTTTTAAATGTAAAAATATTTTTCAATTGTAATATCTATTATTCCTATACATTTATAAGTTTATGAATCTGAAATTCTAACATTCTCAATTTATCTTTTACAGGTACAGTCTGAAATCAGTGAGATACTGAACAAAAGTATTATTGAAGTAGAAACCCCACAATTTGGCTCAGAAAAAAATCTAGCATTCAGTACACACACTGAAAAGAATTCGGTATGTTATTTATACAGATCATTCCTACATTCAGGTGCTTCAAAATGTTACTACTACTAGTTTACCTTCAGCTTTACATTCTCCCCCTCTTCACAGGAAGAACTGACTGTCAGAGACGAAAATAAGGAAGTTTCTATCCTGAAGACCTTAAAAGACGTACGTTTACTTCTCTACTTCTGCAGTTTTCCTATTCCTTTTGGAGTCTGTGAGGGATGTTTGAGTTAGTCCAGATACTGAAAGATTTCCAAGTAAATTCAAATACAAGGCAGTTTGTATAGCCTCTCCATACACTTAGGATTGACCCAGTCTGAACTCCCTAGAGCAACAGCTAATCAGGGTGACCCTCACTGTGTCCATACTGATTTGAAATCACATTTTTTCAGGATAGTTATAACTCTAAAATGACCTAAAACTAGGAATGCAAGCAGAAGTGGAAATATTTGCTTTCCTGAAACTCTCCCTTGACCTATCTATGACCTTCTCCACCTATTTTTGATGTTCTGTTGATGGATGTTAAATTTCTATTTCTGAAATTGAAGGGTTAGTCCATGTATCTCATCCCCTCAGGAAATAAGTGCAAATTCTAAACAAATTGAGGAGATCAGAATCACAGGTTAAATGTTGTTAAATTTTCTGGAAAATAAACCATACCTGTTAGGCTTTTTTGCTGTATAAAAGTAGATACCATGTTTATTTTGGTTATATGAATAAATCATCCACAAATTATTATCTTAATTTCTTGATCATATGGCAAATGACAGTACATTTATAGTGTGCTTTTATTGTCAACAGCCTATAGAGAAGCCAGAAGAAATCTTTTCTATGGAAAAAATTCATCATTTTGAGGATTCCATGATTCGTCCTTCAATGGATGAAAAATTCAGTAGCAATAATGTTAACAGTCTCTCTCAAAGTATAAATATCCCATCCCAAACGCAGTTCAAGGACATATTAACTCTTGAGAACTTGAGAACTCCAACAGATAATTCAGCTTCAAACATAATAATTATGAACCCTTCAGAAAATTCTGACATATTGAAGAATTATAATAATCAGTACAGTTTTCTACCTAAAATATCTCAAAATGTGATATCTCAAGCAGATACAAGTATTCTGGATAAATCCAAAATGGACATGCCTTTTCTGAAGCATGGGTTTTGTGAAAATTTGGATGATATTTGCTACTCGATTAAGCAAATGAAGGAAGAGCTTCAAAAGTCACATGATAGGGAACTGGCACTTACAAGTGAACTTCAAACCTTAAAAACCAACCCAAATATTCAAAGAAATGGGAACTATGACCTGTTCCCCATTCACAAGGAAAAAATTGACTTCACTAAGGAGGAAAGCATAGAAAGTAACTTAAATGAAGATATAAAATCAAAGAGAATTTCAGAATTAGAGGCATTAGTAAGCAAGTTACTCCCACTCAGGGAAACAGTGTCAAAATTCCATGTGAATTTTTGTAGGAAATGTAAAAAATTATCTAAGAGTGAAATACACAGGGGAAAAAATAATGAGAAAAACAATAAAGACATTCCTATCAACGGCAAGACTATTACAGATTTAAAATTCCATTCCCGAGTTCCAAGACATACACTATCATTCCTTGACCAAACAAAACATGAAATAAAAGACAAAGAAGGGAAACCATTTATAGTAAAACACGGATCAGTAGTAGCTGAAAATGAGAAAACATCTAAAGTCAATTCTGTCACTGAGCAGTGTGTTGCAAAAATTCAGTACTTACAGAATTACCTAAAAGAATCTATGCAGATACAGAAAAAAGTATCAGAACTGGAAAACGAAAATCTAACCCTGAAGACCAAAATAAAGCCTCTAGTCTTTACCACACAATCTCTGATACAGAAAATTGAAAGCCACGAAAAGCAACTGAAGAATTTGGTTGAAGAAAAAAACACTATTCAGTCCAAGTTAATTAAAGCAGAAGACGACAGCAAAGAATGTCTTAAAGAATTTAAGAAAATAATTAGCAAATATAATGTTCTCCAAGGCCAAAACAAAATGCTTGAGGAAAAAAATAGTCAGCTTGCTTTGGAGAAGCAACAAATGTTGGATGCATTTGATCAGCTAAAAAGTAAGGAACATAAAATTCAGAACGATATGGCCCTTGTCACTAGTGAAAATAATAGAATGAGTATAGAAATGGAAGCAATGAAAACAAATATTCTCTTGATACATGATGAAAAAGACATTCTGGAGAAAAAAACATACCAGCTCCTCCAAGACAAAAGTTCACTTGAAAATGAGCTAAAAGAAAACCAGCTGGAGATCCTGCAGCTAAAAGAGAAGGAAAGACTGGCAAAAAATGAGCAAGAGTCGCTTCTTCAAATCTTAGAAACGATTAAAAATGAAAAACTGAACCTTGAAACAATATTACAAGATGCTACTACTGCTCGACAAATGATGGAAAGAAAAATTGAGACTCTTCAAACTTACCAAAATGCTTCAGAAGAGAGTTTTCTGAAAGAAATTAAAAATGCAAAATCAGAAGCAAATATTTATAAAAACAGCTTGTCAGAAATCAGCAAGGAATGCGAAATGTTATCAAAAATGGTAGTGGAAATTAAGACAGATAATCAAATTCTGAAAGAAGAACTAAAGAAACATAGTCAAGAAAATATGAATTTTGAAAACAGCCTCAGTCGACTTACTGAAGACAAAATGCTTTTAGAAAACTATGTAAGAAGTATAGAAAATGAAAGGAACACCTTGGAATTTGAGATGCGGAATCTTCAGCGAGAATATTTGAGTTTAAGTGATAAAATTTCTAGTCAGCATCATGACCTAACAAAAATGACTCACATTTCAAGACGAGAGAAATTCCATTTTGACAACTATAATACTTATGAAGACACTTCTAATCCTAGGAGTAGGCCTTTAGCTCATGATTTGAAAGGTATGTATGTTGTGGTAGATTAGTAGAGACGTGTCAAGAGTCTTATAGCCTATTGGGCACTAACCAGAATACAGAAATAAGAAGGAAACTTTAAGATGAATACCATTTAGGTTATGAATAACATTCATAACCAATTTACTATATAATGGAATTATTGGGGGATTTTGTGTTTTAAATGAAATTCATATTTTATTTATATTACTCATATACATTGAATATGCAAAAAGAATCTTTGGGCAGGGAGCAAGAGTTTTAAAATTATTATTCTGAAGTATATTAAGCATTCCCATTTTAAAAAAATAAATACTCTTTTTTTTTCCAGGAATTCCAAGTAAACTGTATCAAATGTTTCCATCCAAAATATGTAAATAAATTTCCAAAACTCAATGTTTCCAATACTTTTGTCCAAGTACTTTTTCCCACAGCATAGGATTATAATTACCTTTTAATTGATTAAACTAGTTTTTAAAATCAGAATTTGTCAAGAACTGTGAATAAACTGAGATTTTACCCAATTAGTAAGCAAATGTTAGCCTGCCACAATTTTATGGAATCTAGTAAAAGACATGAAACTCCTGGATCAGAGATAAAGAAAAGGTTTGTTATAATGATAGCAGTAGATAGAGTATTGACATTTTTGCATCATTTCTCCAAGGCTTAATTCCTGAAGAGAACTACAAAGTGGGCTGCATTATAGGAGAGAAACCCTGAGTTTATGAAAGCCAAATATTTTATAGTGTGCAGTAAGCATGACTGCTCTTTGCTCTAGATGGAAACACTATTTTATTGAGAGTAAGATTCCTAACTTGTCTCCAAAGGAAATACAAGCTGTAGCTTCCAAAGCTATGAGCAAAACTGTCCTTTGCTCCAGAGGACAGCACTCATTATTCTTGTCTATAAGCTATACAATTCCTTGTTGAATTTTGTCAAATGTTTTTTCTGCATGGTTTTCCCCCTTTAATTTAAAGGGTAAATTAAATTAATTTTGAAGTATTACATCAACCTTGCATTCCTGGATCAAGCCCCACTGGGTCACTTTATATTATTCTTTTAATGTATACTCCTGGATTTGTTTTGATAATATTAATCATTTTGTTAAGAATTTCTACTTCTGTATAGGATATTGGTTTGTTACATTATTTTTTGCAAGAATTATTGTGGAATTGGTATTATTGATAAGTAATATTATTTCTTCCTTATTACATAATGGAATTCACCAGAGGGTCTGGATTTTTCTAAATGCAATGGTTCCAAATTGCAAAATGAATTTTACTAATTGATATACAACTATTCAGGTTTTCTATTTCTCTTTATATTTTGAAAAATTGGACATTCTGAAGAATTTGTACATTCAAGTTCTTAAGTGTAGTGGCATGAAGCTGTTAGTAATAGTCCATATGTTTTTAATGTCCAGAGGACCTGTGACAATATACTCTTAATTTCTGACACAGATAATTTGGGGTTCTCCTTTTTTTTAATTTCTTTTTCCTTTATCAGTCTTGCTAGAGCTATATCAATGTCATCGCTCTTTTTTGGATACCAGCTTCTTGTTTCATTAACATTTTTCTCTGTTGATTTTTTTATTCCATTGATTTCTGTTCCTCATTTAACCATTTTCTTCCTTCTGCTTATTTTGGTATTAATTTGTTCTTTCTTTAGTTTCTTAAGGTGGAAGATTAGGTATGTGGTTTGAAACCCTCGTCTTTATCTACTCTGTACATTTAAAGCTATAACTTTCAAGCACCACTTTAGCTGCACCACACTCATGTTTTTTCACTTAGTTCAAAATATTTCCTCTTTTATTAGTTATTGTTTGATCTAGCTGAATATTTAGAAGCAACTTGCTTAATTTCAAATATTTGGAGATTTTCAGATATCTTACTGTTACTGATGCAGAAATTATGTATGATCACAGAGCATACTACACATAATTTGGTTGTTTTGATTCGGGAAGACTTATTTTATTGCCCAGAATATGGTCTATCCTGGTTAATGTAAACTTGAGAAGAATGTATATTCTGCTATTATTGAATGGAGTGTTCTATAAATGTAACTCAGTAGAGGTGGTTACAGTGTTGAAAAAATCTGCATCTTTACTGCTCTTCTGTCTACTTGTTCAATTACTGATAGAGAAATAGGAAAATGGGTTTTCTCATTCTATCAGTTTTTGTTTCATGTGTTTTAAAGTCCTTGATGTGTGCATGCACATTTAGCACTATTCTATCTTATTGGTGAACTGTTCCCTTTATTATGAAATAACCCTCTTTATCCCTGATGATACTCCTTGTTCCAAAATCTTTGACTGATACTACTCTAGTCCCGCTAGTTGTTGTTAGTGTTTACATAGCATTATATGTTTTTCTATCCTTTTATTTTGTAATGCTGAATTGGAAGGAAAAATTTTTAATAATCAAACAGTATATACCATCAAAAATTGACTACTAAACCCTGAAAGTCAAATGTAAAATCAAATAACTGAGAAAAGAACTAATGATGAGCAGTATACCCTTTTAAACACAGAACTAAGATTAAAGAATAGTAAGAATTATAATTACAAAGTAGTATATCATTTAAAAAACATTGGCAAAATAGAACAAAGCAAATATAAGTGAACAGTTAGGTACACCCTTTTACTTTTATTTAACCTGTCTTTTGTCTATTGTGTTTACTGCCACATCTCAGTGCCCAGAAACATGCCTGGAACTTTTGTTAAATAAATAATAAATGAAAAAGCTGCCACTGTGCTAGAGAGTATCCGATAAAGCTTGGATATTCACTTGGTAGGAATGTTATGAAGACTTTTAAGCATCAAGAAGTTTAAATGAGACAACATTTTAGGTCTTTTCCTAACGGAAGTGTAATGACCCCACATTTCTTTGTGAAGATTTTTATGGCTTTCTGGCTATTTCCCATAGGTTTCTAACCAGTGTCCTTAATAAGATATGGGACAGCACAAACTGGCAAAAGACCTTTCCAGTCAACTTGTGCTCTATACTTGATCTCCTAGAAGTAAATAATCTCCACCTTACTCTATTCTCTAATTCTGATAAAGCCTGCACAGTGAATATCATACATTTAAGAATTATCATTCTTTCTATGGAGAACTGGTAAACTAGGGTACAAAATGGAATCATAAATTGATGGAAAGCAGACAGAATGCCTGGCTTTGTTTTTGTTGGTTGTGCTATGTTGGACAATATACTTGACATCTGTTTCCCTCCATTTCTTAATTTGTTAAATGAAGATTAAATAATAAATATAAACAATATGTAATCATATGGGGTGGTGTCATGACACAAGGCTAAACCAGTCAGGATCACTCCAGGTGAACTGAGCTGGCACACAGAGACAGAGAAATACCTTTTCCTTTGGGTTCTGGGATGGCTCCTCTGACCCAGCTCCCACAAAGGAGGCAAGGTAGGCAAGAAAAAGAAAGAGCACAACTGGAACCTGGTTTTATTGGGGATAAGCCATTCAAATGAGGCAAGGGGTAGGATTACAAAAGAACAGGTGAGTGCAACTCAACCCACCAGGTGACACCTACTCCTGGAGCCATGCCTCATTATCTCAGTGGAGATAAAGCCCAAGTTATTGTAGGACTTAAGGACTTAAGGGCATGTATTTCCAGAGCAGCTCCCAACAAGATAGTACTTGACACTATTATAATAAACATTCTATAAGCATTTTTGTATTTTAAATGAGTTAATATTTTTAAATCAATTATAACTAATAAAATTCAAATTAGCAAATACAACTTATTTACAAAAACTACTTGATGGATGGATTCTCCCTGTGACCTACCTGCACAGCCAGTGAACAGTTGAACAGCTCTGAAACATGAGCCATGAGCAGATTGAAAATATAGTGAGAATAAAAAAATAGAAATAAAGAAAAAAAAGGCAAAGACATGAAAAATAGATGTAGTGGGCCAGTTGGTGAGAGAGTCCTAAAGGAATCTTAAGCAACAAGAGCAGGGGCTCCGTGTGTTAATTTTATAGGTCTTAAACATCAAAGGGATTCACTGTGAAAAGGCTTCTTGAGGTGAATAGGAAGATGTTGTGAGCAAAACAGTTTAATTGGAGTTTATCAGTTTGCACTCATCTACTTCTGGGCTGCCAGGATTAGAATTCAAGGCTTTTGAACTAGTAAATTCCATGACAAACACGGAATTCTATCAACAGGAGTTATTTACAAATGGGCGTTTGCCTCCTTGCCAAAGGATTCCCAAGAGAGGAATCTCACTGTCCAAGGTTACATAGTTAAAAGTCCCAGCTCCCAAAAATGGATAATAATGATTAGTCTTTTAAAAAAATGTGTGTGTGTTGTATAGCCAGGGAAATATTTTTAATTTGGTCTTTGTGATAATTCTTCTAGGTAGATTATGAGCAAAGAGTCTCCAGAGGTTAAGTAATTTGCTTCAATATACATAGCTAGTAATAGGTTGAACCTGGTTTATTATTCTTAATGTATGCTGCATACACTTTAATATAAAAAGAACAAAAAAGTCTCTAAAGACTTTAAATAAGTCTCTAAAATCTCCAAAGAAACAGGATAAGATTTCCAGAAATGGGTGATGTCACTGCTTAACTTTTTCTCTAGTTCCCTTAGAAGTGTCTTGACACTCTCATTTCTTTTGAATTAAGTTTTTCTTCCATGATCAAATTAACATCCACAATCTTTGTTTAGATTCTGAGCCTTGAACAAATACAATTAGATGATATGTAGCAGAAATTAATGGCTGTCTAAGCAAGATTTTTCTTCCCTTTTTCACTGTTGGTGGACACAGAATATTCAAGTCACATAGGCTTCTTTTGGGAAAGCAGATACCTTGATGTCGAAGTCTTCAAGAGATAGGATGCCAGTGACTCTTACCTGCTCATGCCTGAGTTCTGAACAATAAAGCTGCTTCACGGGAAACTATTTCATGCTGTATTTTTTTATTTCCAAAGCTTAAAAAAAAATGAACTTGTAAGAAAACAATCAGCCAGGTGCACTCCTGGCACATGCCTATAATCCCAGTGATTCTGAAGGCTGAGGAAGAAGGATTGCAAGTTCAGGACCAGCCTGAGCAACTTTGTAAGGCACTAAGAAATTTAGTGAGACCCTATCTCAAAAATGAAATATTTACAAAAAGGGGTGGGGACGTGGCTCAGTGATTAAGCACCCTTGCTTTCAATCCCTAAAACAAAACAATGGGCATCCTTGTTTGCACCCCTTTAATTGAATGCGTGTTCCTCTCCTGAGTCCCAAAAATCTTAATTTGTTTACATGTTTTATGATTCCTTTTACTGGTTTCTGCATCTACTTTTCTGAAAATCAATACAGTGATGTAGACCCTAGATGAAGTCTGCCACTGTCATACTATTAATCATACTTTTTAGTAAGGTTATGAGTGTTCCCATCTATGAATATATTATGTAAACCATGCATTGCTTTAAAAAGACACACTTTTAATAAAAATTAATTGCAGTTAATAAAAGATAGAGTTAAAATTGGCAATTACATAGATATTCATAAAGTCTACATATATAAGCTACAACCTCAAAAGAATATATAAAACTCAGTAATATTTATCAATATAGAACTATAAATTTGATTCAGTTATGTGCTGAAAAACTAATAAAGCCATTTCTATTTGGAAGACATAGGTCACCTTTGAATCAAATTATACCCATGATAATATTTTTAAGACATCCATTGCCCACTAATTAATTATAAAGCATGAATTTTTTTAAAAAAATTAAAAATAGCAAAAATTCTTTAAACTATCTTTACCCTTTCAAAAACCTTAACATAGTTCTCTCCAATGGAAAACAATGGGACACAAAGGAAAAGAGTCCTAAAACCTCTCCAGTCCAATTTTCAGCTCTGAAGAGCCTAGTCTGGTAGGGGAACAAATACTCAAAAAGCATCATTGGTCAAAAATAACTTCCCTAATACATTTTAAGTTTTCTTTTCAAAATACAAACATCACTACCTCTTGCCCCATTGAATTGAAGACTATTAGAGACCACACTATAAATAACAGTAATATATTTAATCATATTTAAAGCACATTTTTAAAAGAGAGAGGGCAGATTAAGAAGAAAGAACTTGGGAACTAAAGCATTGGAGTGATCTGGATGCTCTAAGAGAGGCAGCTTTACAGGAACGTGAGAGAATACCAAAAACAAATCCATCTTACAAATTATAAGAATGAATCCATGCATTCCCCCTCTCCCCTTCAACTTATCTTGGAGCTGCCATTGGCTAAGTAATCATCAGATTACTTAAGTTACCTAAGTATCTACCTAAGTTACAAATAGAAGATATGACACCATGAGTTGAAACATATGTCTCCCTATAATGTATACATATATAAATCGTGCAATATAAATGGATCTAATATGTTTCTTTGTTTAGAGTGTTAATGGTAAGCTATGACAGTTGGATAACTATCAGTACAGTTTTTCAACACTCTGAGAAGAAGAAGCAAGTTAAGAATTTGTGGTGTACAGTCTACTCCTCCAGCCTTCTCTGTTCCTGTCCTCAACTGTGAAATTTTAAGATTCCAAGTAATAGATTATATTTAAAGATTTTATAACATTTTTCAGCATTATACTCTGCTTAGGAACACAAATCTAAAACATAAGTCAGAAATCGCATGTTAAATTATTAGCAAAAACTATTTATTAAGTAGTACTAAAATCAGGAAGAATATTGGAGTTGGAGGTTAAATTTCTTTTCAAGGCTCGAGCTATCTGTTCCACACACTTTGCATTTTGCATTTTTTCAAATAATTAGCTCTTGATGACAAGTTACTGGTAGTAAGGATTTAGAAAGTTACGTGTCTTGCAGTTGCTAATAGGACTGTAATGAAGCAGTCTTGTAGTTCTTCATATTGAGTGCCCTAAAATTGAAAAATAAAGGCACATTTAATTTTATACATGCAGATAATATATCCAAATTTTCTATAAAATTTTTACATTAAAAATTTACACTGATATATTTGATGACATATTAATGATCCAGAAACAAAATTTGTCTCACAAACTTAGAAAACTTATCTTTTATTAAAGTCAGATAAATTTAGAAAACATAATTTAACAGGAGAAACAATTATGTAACAAATTTTAACTCTTATTGTCCAAAGGTTTATTCATTTTAAAATTAGGGGAAAAGAAGCTAAAACTAGATGTGGGATATTTGTAATAATGTAAAATCAGATTTCAATAAAGTCAAAGCAATTAAACAGACAAATATAAGTATTATAAGTACATAAGTATTATATATGCATTTTTAATCAACCAGAATATTTCCTGTTTGCAGAGAAGGTTATTTCAAAGCTAGGAGCAGAACTCTTAAGCCTCATTAAGATTCCTCACAATTAGCAGGGCATGGTGGCACATGCTAGTAATCCCAGCCACTCAAAAAGCTGAGGCAGGAGGATCACATATTCAAGCGTAGCCTCAGCCTTACTAAACTATAGTAAGGCTCTAAGAAACTTAATGAGACCCTGTCTCAAAAAAGAAAAAGAAAAAACGATTCCTCACAAATGCTGAGAAATTCCCTTTAAGAAATAGCCAATGATAGTGTATACTGTTAAAGTACAAATATCAAGTAGTTTTAAATAACTAGAGATAAAGTGCTTTTTACAAGGGAAGACAGGTATATTGAAGGTGCTTAGATTTCTAAAGTCACTCAAATTTTAATTTTTAAAAGTGTATACATAAATATTTTGAAGTCTAAAATTTGAAAATATTTTTTGACTCTTAGGCTAAATATAAGCTATTCCTACCTTTTGACATTCAAACTCATTATACTTTCAATTGGTCTGCTTTTTGGTCCACTTGGGGGATGAAAAACCTTATCATCTTTTTTGGAAACCTCCTTTCCTGGTTTAAGCACATAAGGGTCAGTAGAATGTGATGGGTAAGGTTCAAATGTTCCTGCTTTCATTCCACCAGGCTACAAATAAAAATGAGTCCATTTAATGTGATTTTATAAAATACTTTTTAAAAATTAGATTGTGAATAAGTTAATAGATACTTTTGTAATCTATGAAGTTAGTTTTACATTTAAAGAAGTTATCTTTTTGTTTAATTCAAATACCAGTAAAAGGTCTCGCTACCACCAATTCTATAAGGCTAAGATATTATATTCCAAAATTTCTCCATAAAAACAAAAAAAAAATTATAGTAAGGTACTATTCTCAGATGTTACCAAGCATTAATGTTAGTGAGTTTCATCAAGCTATTGCCTTGTTAAGGTGAGTCTATTACTGAGGAAATGAGACCCAGCATATATTTTGATAGAGAAGGGAATAGGAAGTCTGAAATTAACATGTGTGTGCTAACCAGCAGGCAGTGATGGGGTAGACAGCTCCCTCAAAAAATGAACAACACGTAGAAATAGAAGGTGAGAGGAAAATGTGATCCACTTTATACTTTTCTTGTAGTCTAGAGTAAGACAAAGTGCTTTTCTACCTATACAACAGACAAATATTTGCTTTCACTTTTTAAATGGATTTGACAGGATTTTTACCTATATATTACATAATCATTAAGAAAATTCTAGTTATAATAATCCATTTAATTAAGCCAAAATACACATGAAAATTTAATTGATTTGAAAGACATGCTTATAGTTTTGCAAGTTTTCCAGACTGAGATTACATAGATTATTTTGAATAATAATAAGAAAACTTAAGGAAAGTAAAATAAATTAACTTGAAAATAAAATTTAAAAAATTTAAATGAATAAATTATAAATAGGAAAATATATATGGTAACTAAACCTACCAAATGGTTCTTTAAAGAATGAACTAAACATATGAAGCAATATTAGAAATAAAAATTTAAAAATAGGGTAAATCCATGCCTATGAGGAATATCAAAATATATAAAATAATATTTTGTAAACTTCTGTATTAATTTGAAACTTGATTTGAAATTTGAAATTTTGACTTAAATAATTTTTTAAGATCTTTTCATATAGTAATGTAAATTTTTCATATAGTAATATAGTAAATTTTTAAATTTGAAAACTTGATTTAAATAATTTTTTAAGAAAGTATGAATGATCAGAATTGACCAAGAAGAGATAGAAATCCTATAGAAAACAGATACAATGTAAGAACTGAGAAAGCTGACAAAGAGCAACCTCTGTACTTCCCCTGTGAATTCTGAGGAATGGAAATTGATGGTAATATTTAAACTGTTACAGAACATGACGTAAAGGAAGGAAATCTCCCCAAGTATTTTAAGATGCTAGCATCTACTTGTACCAAAATAAACAAGGCACTCGCACACACACAGTGCAGACTGAGAACTTACCTAGCATGGACCAGGCCCTGGGTTCGATACACAGCACCACATATAAACACACACACACACACACACAAATGTTGGCATTTCATAAATAATGGCAAATTAAATATAGTACTATGTTTAAAGATTAATATATCACCAAATCAGATTCATTACAGAAATATATTTATAATATATATTATTCACCTTATAACTAGTAAAAAAGAGAAAAAAATGATGTAATATTATACCATTTGATAAAATTCAACATACATCTGATAAAATTGAATCTGATAAGGCTAGCAGAAAAAAAATAAGGCACATTATTCTAATATCAATGGTAAAACAACAAATCCATTCTGAAAATGACACAAAACTTCACCAGAAAGGATTGATCAATTTATTCAATTTCTAAATAGCACAAGATAACATAATCAAAGTCAAAAGATCTAATAGAGTAGAAAAATTACTTTCACCACAAATGAAAAAAGGATACATCCTTACTGTATGAAAAGATCTTGAGTCAATATGGAAAGCACAAACACCCTTACAGAAAGTTCACAGGCAAATGAACAGGCAACATCATGAACAACCCCAAAAATGGGAAGGATATATGTAAAAATACATTCTATTGTCATGTATAACTAAAAACCAATTTTAAAAAAAAGAAAATGAACAGGCAATTCACAGAAGGAAAAAGGACAAAGGAAAACTAAGGTTTATAATTTGTCAGAGCATTTTAAAATTTTTACTCTCACTGATTATAAATATCTATAGTAGGGAGGTAGTTCATTTTAATCACCATTTTAAAAACTAAAAAGATGACTTGGAAATTTTATGGTTTTGAAAAAACCCAGGGTTAAGGTCTTGAGAGCTACTTGGAAAACTCACTGTAAGTCCAAATATATTTGAAATGATTAGTAACTACTTTATTACAAGATCTTCATTACATACCTTAGCCATGTTTTTATATAATTTTGGAAAATTAGGCTTTCATGATTCTTGGCATCCATACAAAGAAAAGCTTATTATATTGATGAGTAATAAAACAATTTACAGCAAGAGGCTATTTATAATGCTTTTTTTTGCATTCTGAAACTTTTAACTTACCTTTTTACCAGGAGAAGAGGGCTTAAAAGGACTTAAAAGTGATTCTTTCTTCTCTTCTTTTTTAATTGGAGGTAAAGGTTTTTCAGTAAAATAAGGATTAGTGTCAAAATAGTCCCTTGGGTAAAGATTTAACTTGAAAGGTGCCCCCTTCAGTAACCGATGATGCTCTTCATTTTCTTTCTGTAAATTAAAGAATTTGAAATTACATAGCATATACTATGCAAGTTGGAAATAAAGTGAAGACAAATCTCCTCTTAAATTTTAACATAAATATGTAGATTCTTTAGTGTATACTGCTGGGTGTATGCTGAGGTAGGAGGATCACAAGTTCAAGGTCAGCCTCATCAACTTAACCAGGCCTTAAGCAACTTAATGAGACCCTGTTCTCAAAATAAAGAAGTTAGAGGATCAGGGCTATAGCTCAGTGGTTAGGCACCCCTGTGTTCATTCCCAATACCAAAGAAAAATTTTAATAAAATAAATAAATAAAGCAGCTGGCACATTGTAGGCCCTCAATAAATGTCAGCTTTTACTTCTAAGACTAAAGAATATAATATTTGTATGTTACAATATCTTTAGCTACCTAGTATTCAAACAAATCAGAGGATTTATTTTTCCTCTTATGCTGCAATCTTTTCTATGGGACAATACCAAGTTATAAAAATGGCTAGCATTTAATAAAATGCCAAACAAATCGTGCTGTGATATAAAACTTTTAAAAGACAACTATGAAGTGAATATTGATTTTTTTTCACTTTTTACAAATATGAAATCTTATATTTCATCAGTCAACCATCTGAACTGAAAACATTTGAATAAAATCTAAAATTGTCACGAGAGAAGACTAATTGTCACTACCAGGAACCTCACTATATTTCTTTAAGAATTTTTTCACTCCTCCTCTTGTGTGTCCTCTACCTTTCTGCAGTCTACCGGACCTTTACCAGTTTTTGATAATCTGCCCTGCCCTCTTCCATATCTCAACAGTAGTACTGACAATTTAACTATTCCATATATCCTTTGGAGTAGTGTTTCTGAAAGTTAGCTTTCATGGGAATCACTTGGTAATATATTTAAATTAGAAATTACTAAGCTCTTCCTTCAAAGATTTCTGTTACATAAGTCTGTTGTATGGTCCCACTAATCTGCAATTTTAACAGGTAACCTAAGTGATTCTGAGCATGATGTTATAAGGCAATGTTTTAATGAACACCTTTTTACTTATTAGAGTATGATCACTTTTTATGAGAATATTGTATTTGTTTTACCAACTTCTGACCTAGATAGTCAGTTGAGTACTGCTAAGCATATATGAGAAAAAGACCACCTGGAAGAATTAGAGGTAAGAGTGTGTGGTTCTCACAAAGTACTGTTTCCCACTAGTTATTCCAAAAAACTTTAAAATTCACAGAGCACTGGGATAGAGTACATCAAAAGACCTTGCCTCAACAGTGGATAATAATTACCCCTAGATTGAGCACTGCTCCAGTCCCCATCTAACAATTCTTAAAAGCAAGACCTGAAAATATCAAACTGTTTTTAAGTAATATATCTGCATCCCAGAGCAAAACTCAAGAAAATTTATAATACAAAAATATACAATATTCAACAAGGTAAAATTCCCCATGCTTGACATCCAATCAAAAAGCGCTAGTAATGCAAAGTGGAAAAATATGACCCATCCTTAGAAGAAAAACCAATTGCTCAAAATAAATTCAGAACTAACACAGATATTAGAATTATCAGGGAAGGGCATTAATATAGTAATTATAACTATATTCCATATGCCCCGTAAATTAAGTGGAGACAGGTAAGATATTAAAAACATTCAAAATTCTAAAATAAAAAAAAAATTAAAAGAATTTAAAAAACCTTCTACAACATAAAACCACAATTATGATATTTAAAAATACATTGGATAGCATTAACAGCAGACTGGAAATTTAGAATATATTAATTATCTTGAAGATATAAGCAATAGAAACTAACAAAGTGAACTATAGAGAAGAAATCAAAGAACATTTTTTAAAAAGTGAATAGGGCATTGGTAATTTGTGGACAGTTTCAAGAGACCTAAAACACATGTAATTGTAATCTCTGAGAGGAAAAAGAAGAGGGATTAGGAAAAAAAAAAGCTGAAGAAAGATTGGCTGAAAACATTTTCAATCTGATTTTTAAAGTAACTATCCAAAAATTTAATAAGCCCAAGCACAAGAAGTGTGAAAGAAAACCCCAAGGCATATGATAATCAAATTGCTTATGTAGTGATTTTTTTAAGTAGCCACAGAAAAGACATAGTATATACAAATGAACATACATGAGCATGACAACAGATTTCTCATCATAAATAATTCAAGCAAAAACACAATGGAGTAATCTCTTAAAATACTAAAAGAAATCAAATACATTCTTCCAATTACCTTCAAAAATTACTTTAAGAAATCCAGGTACACAAAATATCTGACATATATAATAAATTCTGAAAATGAAAAGCTTAGGATGAAAGACAACTTACCAAGCCTCTGATAAAATTACATTGTAAGTAGTTAGGTAGTATGTATGCATTATTATTTTTATAGATGAAAAGTAGTTTACATACAATTTTATATAAACTGCATAATCCATTACACAAACAGAACTGCTTATTTTCAAATGACAAAATGTTCTATCCAACTTAATTAAAAACTTTTCCTGGATTTGGACATGCCCCTTTGCAAAATTGGCCACTATTCTAATTCTCAGTCACCAATTAAAATCAGCACAGCAAAATTATTGAAGACTGCATGCTGAAAAAAAAAAAAACTAACAAAGGGATGGCCATATCTGTTTTAAGTACAAACTAACTTGACTTTTCACTACCAGCTTTCTTTAAATTACCCTGATACTTTTAAATTATGCCAGGCAAGGTGGTGCATGCCTATAATCCTTAGTGGTTTGAGTGGTGGAGACAAGCAAGTTCAAGGTCAGTCTTAGCAATTTGGCAAGGTCCTAAACAACTTAGTGAGACCCTGTCTAAAGATTCTTAAAAATTTTAAAAGAGTTGGGGATGTAGCTCAATGGCAAATTGCCCATGGGTTAATCCCTAGTACCAAAAAAAAAAAAAAAATATGTTGATCTTGTTCTAAAATTTTTAAGAGTTAAGATTTAAGCATATGTAAACGCTCCCCACATAACTAAATATTTTTGTTATATGTAAAATATTGTGTAAAGTAAATGTAAAAGATATTATGCCAGGATGTTTTAGTTTTTAGTTTTTCCATTTAATTCAGTATGCAGTTTTCTCAGATCCTTTCACTGTCTCTTATAGCTACTCATCCATTCTCTACTCTCCCCTTTCTCCCATCACCCCATAACTCCTCCATCCTATAAACTCACCCCAAAGACTTACCATTACTTTCTCACACATAAGATATTAGTGTGGGATGGGAATATGGCTAAGAGATAGGATATGACTCTTCCCTTAAAGCAGAACATAATTGATCAGGCCAAGTCAACATGTCTCCCTGAGGAGGCTGACACCTTGAGGTCAGCTCATCCGATGACGGGTAAGAACCATATGTAGTATTGGACAACCTAAGACAGGCACGGTTCCTAAGCCACATGCTTGTTATTTAATTAAACAGAAGGGGGGAGATGTTGAGAGCCACAGTTTAGTCAGAATGACGCCTGGCATTTTTGCCAGAGGGAATGGTTGAAAGGTGACCCTGCTCCAGGATTAGGGCAGCTCCGGGATTAGGGCGGATCCTGCTGCCTCGGGCGCCTGCTACTTTGGATTTCCCGTTGAGTTCTCGCAGGGTTCTGAGAGAATTGGCGCGGAGCCTGGTGGAGGGAGTGTGTTCCCGGGAAGTGTGTGTACAGTGCCAGTGAGAGTTCGGGAATAAACAGTTGCTGTTTGAACCTACAAGGCTGTGTGGCGGCTCGGTTATTTGTGCCCAGCCAGACTGCGGCATTTGGTGGCCCGTGCGGGGAACGCCTGAAGCTTGGAGGTAAGTGAAATTGCTCGCCCGTGAAGGAGAGCGAAAGAATGGGTGACCATTTCAAAAAACAATGTGTTCTTGTTTTGATTTATTTTGTTTTTATTTCAAGCTGCCTGTCCCTAGAACTTTCTCAGGCAAACTGGGGAAAATGGTTGGCTCAAGGTTTGAAGTTGTTCGCCCCTAAGGAACAGATAGAGATAGACCACAAATGCACATGTCAAGAAAATAGAAAAACTGATACAACGATTTTTTGTTCCATTTTTGTTTCATTCTGTTTCGGTTTTGTTTTGTGTTATTTTGTTGGGTTACGTTATCTTTATAATAGATCAGAAATTAGGAAAAAAACAAACCGAAAGAATGTTAAGTAAATTGTTAGAGGTCCAGACTATGGTAGATCAAGTAAAAGAGAAGGTCTCTCGAGTTAGTCAGACAGAAGAAGAAAATTTAAAGGAAAAGGGGCTATCAGAAAAAAAGTTACAACAGGAGGCTGCTACTAACACCTTTCTATCACCAGAGGGCTACCAACCAACAGCTCCACCTATAGAGACAACATATGCTGTGGGGCCCCCAACCCCCGTAGTTGATAGATGGGATCCTGAGACAGGACCTCAAAGATTAGCATGCCCTGTACTTGAGCAGACAGGAGGGCAGTGAATTCACCATACTTTAGAATTCAAATCAGTGAAGCAGCTAAAAGAGGCTGCAACAACCTATGGTCCCCAAGCACCCTTCACTGTAAGCATGGTCGAATCCATTACCAACTTGGACATGACGCCAGCAGATTGGGCTAGCATGTGTTAAGCTGTGCTAAATGGAGGGCAATATTTGTTATGGAAGGGTTGCCAATCAGGAATTTTGCACGGAGACGGCTAGGCAAAATGCAGCAGCCGGTTATCCTCAGAGAAATCTAGATATGTTGTTAGGACAGGGACCTTATGAGGGTCAGCGGCAACAAATTGAATATGATCCTGCTATATATTCACAAATTGCTGCAGATGCGGTTAAGGCATGGAAGACTTTACAAGGACATGGAGATTTACAAGGACAATTATCTAAGGTTATACAAGGAGCTAATGAACTTTACGCTGAATTTGTAGATAGGCTTATTCAAACAGCTATCAGAGTTTTTGGGGATACAGAACAAGCAATGCCATTAATTAAACAGCTAGCCTTTGAGCAAGCAAATCGTTGGTGCAAGGAAGCCATTAGACCATGGAAACATGAAGATTTAAACACATATATTAAATTATGTAGAGACATTAATAAACAAGGGCATGTCTTGGCAGCTGCAGTACAACAGGCTTTAGATGCCAGGCATCATTCTGACTAAACTGTGGTTCTCAACATCTCCAGCTAGCTGAGAGAGAAATGTAAGACAGACATGATCCACTACAGCAGGAAATAAAATTCATCCTGGCAAGAGCTGGGAGGATCTATCTACAGGAAGATGTGGAAATCTCATATTATAATCGATAAACATGTCTGCTATTGTCCCAATTATACAAATAGAACAGAACAAAACTTAATTAGATAACAAGTAAATTCTCAAAGTCAACCAAATAAAAGAAGGGTTGAAAAATTAAAAATAGATTATTTTACCTTAAAATTTTGTCTTGCTGCATCATATAAATCAGAAGAGTGTGAAAACTGTTTACCTATGGTAATATTTGCATAGCTAAGGAAGGGAAATAAGTAATGGTGACTTCAGGGTTCAGAAAGTTTATTAAATTTTAAAACATGATATGAAAACATTAAAAATATCTTACCCATATCCGGTTCCTTTCTTTCCTGGGTTTGTGTATAAATTCTTTCCAGGTGGCATATATTGTTCCCTGGGTTTGGCCTGTGCACTGAAGGATGGGACTGGACCACCTATTGTTCCATAGTAGCTTCCTAGTCCACATCTTAAATACAGTTATTTTTTAAAAGGAAGAGGTTAAAATGGCTAACTTAATGTTACATATTTTTGTATAACTTTTTTAAAGACTGAAAAAGGAGAAAAATAGGTGCTTTAGTAACTCCAGTGAGAAAAAAAAAAATCAAGCTTTTTAGTATTTAACTTGATTTTCCTCATTTTCAAGGTTATAAATTCCAAGATATGTTTTTAACATTTTTATATTTATTTCAAATGTTCCATGTAAATACAATTTCACAATCTTTAGTAAGTTAGAATAATCCCCATCCATTCAGAAATTACACAAATCTCTAGGCACCTTAACGCAAGTTAGCTAACAAATGGTGAATGTCTTTTGATCATCCACTCCTTAAAAAATACACTTTCAAAACTACATATTTGAAAATATGTTTCACTGCTGATGGTAAAGTGAATCTTATGGAATTTTGGTGCTATTTTTTTTTCTTTTTGGTTTACACTTATTAGTGTAGGAAAAAATTAACCAATCTTTTCTTCAATTTTAATGTTAGATTTTTCTAGGGACACAATATATAATCCAGCTATTTATTGCTCAGCCCTTTATTATTTTCACAAATGTTTTCTTTAAATTTTGCACAATCAAAACGATAACTACTGCTAATCAGTTATCATTGAAGTAAACAAGTTGTAATCATCAGAAAATGGAACATTGTTATAAGAAGATGACACTATGCATTCATGTTTAAATTTCAAAAATCAGAAAGACATAAACATTGATTACTCATTATCTCCAGCCTACAAATAAAGGTTCCAATTAAGAGAGATTACTTATTTTCATAAACCCTTCCTTATGAACATATATCATACATTCTAAAATACAATAAGGAAGTAGAGCAGTGATATTGCAGAGAAAAGGACAATTATGGAAAAGCATGATTTAATTAGAATGTGATGTAATGCCAACAATGTAAATCACTACATTCAGAATATATTAAATGCCTATGATCAGGAGGAGAGTGGATAGAGGGAGGCTGGATTTGATTCATCCATGATGTATACATGTGTTGCAATATCATGCTGAACCAAATTAATATGTATAATTAACACATGCTAATCAAAAATAAAATATTTTAAAGTCCAGCAGAGAGATTAATAAAATAATCATGAAGATAAAAAATATGCCTATGGTTCCATAATTTGGTTTTGAATAAATGCCTATATGAGGGCTTCTTATGCTACCAATTTCTCTTTTTCGAAATACTTTTTGTTGGACTGGGGTTGTGGCTTAGTGGTAAGCGCTTGCCTTGAACATGTGAGGCACTGGTTCGATCCTCAGCACCACATACATAAAAACAAATAAAAATAAAGATATAAAAAAAAGAAATACTTTTTGTATGTCACTAAATTAGAGATTTTTTTCACATGTTTATAAGCTTTAAATAAAGGAAGCTAGTCTACTATCATATAATTTTTATTTCTTGGCTGGCAAATCAATATAAGCATGTTATGAACTAATGTATCAAGGTAGCAATTCTCAATTACTACCTGGGTTCATGTCGATCACAAGTGGGAAAAAAGACTGAAAATCAGGAAAAACTTATTTAAAAAAATAAAATATATATTACATTAAAAAGGAATGAAGTATCTACAAAGAAAAATAACACTTTTTAAAATTTATATCTAAGTAGAAATGAATAAGTCTACAAAACAGTGGTAATTTTAAACTGTAATAATATTCAAGTCTAAGTGTAAAAAGGAGAAAAGTTTAAAAAAGAAGAAACTTAATGACTACAGCAAAGAAGAAATCCCCCACTCTTAATAAAGACAATAATTTTGGCTGAGAAGTCAAGATTACCTGTTAGAATTAGAAGGATGACTAAGTTATAGAAGTAGAGCTTCACTGTTCTCAAGAAAAATTAGCAAATTAAAAAACAAATAAAAGGGAGAACAGTAGAATAGAAGAAGAGGATGGGGAGGGAGGAGAGGGAAAGGGGAGGTACTGGGGAATGAAACTGATCAAATTATACTGTGCACGTATGAATATAACAAATTCCACTGTTACGTATTATTATAATGCATCAGTAAAAGGAAAAAAGAAAAGAAAATATAGCAATGAAGCACAAAGTTAAGTTTTATCAATTCCTATCTACCATCTATTTTGAATTGAGAGAGTCCAAGTTACTGAGTGTGGATGAAAACCATATTCTATATTACATAGTATAACATACATGGTCTTACTTAGTAAGGTAATGATTTCATGGTAAGAAAAAAATATACTTTCACATTGATAACTGTTCAAAATTAAAATTTTATTAATCGCCATGAGTGTATCTTCACAGCAATTTAAAAATAATATATCTTTTTTTAAAGAGAGAGAGAGAATCTTTTTTTTTTTTTTTTTTGTAGATGGATACAACACAATGCCTTTATTTTTATGTGGTGCTGAGAATCAAACTGGGGTCCCGCCTGTGCTAGGCGAGTGCTCTACCACTGAGCCACAATCCTGGCCCCATAAATAATATATCTTTGATAAATTATGTTTTTTCAAAAGAGCATTTCTCCCATGCACATTTTTTATTTATACTTTTTTAAAGTTTTTTAACAACAGAAAAAATAGTCCAAAAAAAAAGAACAACTCAAGGCAATTCTTATTCCACCTGACTTTTGCAAGGTTTTTGAACAAATTATTTTTATTATTTAATGGCTTTTATTGTCTAAACACATAGAGAACAGTGACATAATAAAAAAATTACTATAATAATGAGATTCTATTTTAAATTATCTATCTAAATCATCCAATATAGTTGTTTCCACCTAAGACAAACCATCCAAAAAATCCTACTTAAAAAATTAATCTTCCTGGGCTAGGGTTGTGGCTCAGTGGTAGAGTGCTCGCCTAGCATGCACGAGGCACTGGGTTCGATCCTCAGAGACACTTAAATATTGTGTCCACCTAAAGCTTAAGAATAAATATTTTTTTAAAATTAATCTTCCATAAGTAAGTCCTATAGAAAAATAAACATTTTCTTTAGATAAAAGAGATAAAGAAGTAAGAGATATATTTAAAACTCGCCCCTCCCCCACCTCCCAACACACTTACGGTTTTTTATCTCCACTACTCGGGAGAAAGGCTTTGGCAAGATTTTTTTTGGCTTCTTCCATCATATGCCGTCTTCTCACTTGATTTAGATTTACATAGCCTTCGCCTTCAAAAATCCTTGCAAATTGGGGATCAAAATAACCTGCCTGGAGATTTGACATTTTTTTGGTTCCCCCAGGTAGAATCTGTCTATTTTTGCTTGCAGCCTCATTAAAGGGTCCTTTAAAAATAAATTAGCCATACTATAAATTTGAGCTGTCTAGTAATTAAGGACATAGAGAAAACAGAAAAGCTTCCAAATGTGATTTGTGCCAATTCTGGGTTTGAGCTCTAAAATAAATGTTGTTTAAAATGTTAACTGAAAGCTCTGTGTTAATGGCTAACATTAAGACCTGAGAGGATTCCATTAAAATGTTGAACATGATCCTTGTGATACACTGTGAATTCTGGAACTGGAAGAGACTTAATAGTTATTTTACCCAATGTTCCTCTGGCTACATACTAGGAAACTGTTTGTGTGCTTGTATGTAATGTCAATAAGAGCATGTGTGGAGGTTGAAGAGAAGGCTGGTACGTACTCATATTGAACAATTCACCTCCTGGGTATATGCTCAAGACAATGAGAGCTAACGTCCTCTAAAAAATATGAACAAAAATGTTCACAGTAGTTTCATTCTTAATAATTAAAAACAAAAAAACAACTCAAATGTCTACCTATTGAACAGATTTTTGTGGCATTTCACATCAATGTTTATAGCAGCACAATTCATAATAGCTAGACTATGGAACCAACCTAGGAGCCCTTCAACAGATGAACACAGTATTACTCAGTCATGAAAAAAGAATGAATTTACCTCAGTTGCTGGTAAATAAATGGAACTGGAGACTATAATACAAGTGAAATAAGCCAGGCACAGAAAGTCAAAGGTCAAATGTTGTCTCTGATATGAAGAAGCTATTCTAAAACAAGGGTAAAAGGAGGAGGGAGGGAGGGGGAGAGAGAGAAAGAGAGAAAAGAAATGGTAGGAATTTCATCAAAATAAAAGATCAGGGGAGATGAAGAAGGGGAATGAGGAGTAGGGAGAGAATAGGGAAAAACAGTGGAATGAATATGACCTAACTTTTTAATGTAAATATATGAAAACTACAGTGAATTTCACCACTATGTATATCCACAAAACATTAATATTTTTTAAAACATAAATAGATGAGTAGAAGAAAGGGAACAGGGGGAGAGGGATGGAGGAGGGGAGGGTAAGGGTAAGTACTGGGAACTGAATTGAAGCAATTTATAGTCCACCCATTTACAATTATGTCAAAAGGAATCTTGACATTATGTATAACTATTATGAGTCAATTAAAAAATTGTAGCATTTCTACAATTGAAATACTAGCACAAATTTTTTGAAGGCTGCATTTGCAAATATTTAGATCTTTAATAATTTGGTCATAAGAGGGCTTAATTTAGGAAGTCTTTCCAAAATATGAAGAACTTGTTGAAGTGCATACAACTCTTATTTCAAGTTGAAATATAAATATAAATAAAATTTATATTTTATTGAAATATAAATTTTCATCACTGATTTTTTAATTTAAATTTTGAAAAGGTAACATTTTCAAATAGTTTCAAATTTGATAGAATAAACAGCCTCACAATAAATTTTCTTCCTGTACTTGTCCATGAAGTTCCTCTCCAATGGAACAGGCAGTGATATTAATTTTGTCTTCCAGAGAATGTCCAGTCATGTTTGAGTGAATAGTCTCATTTTAACATTTAACATAATAAATACACTGTTTTCAATCTTGTTTTTTTATTTAACAATTATTGTTGAGATGGCTACATATCTGTGCATTCTTTTTTGTCACACAGATGTTCCATTTGGACATCCAAATGTTTAAATGAGATATTAAAAGTGTATATTTATTTTAAGTCTTTCTATTATGATTTTCCTAAAAATCCCCTCAGCTATTCATACAGCATTTCACTTTCCAGGAAAGTTATAATGGATAGCCTTCTTAGATGCACATTTAGAAAGAAGTAAAATCACCTATGAGGACAATAAATGAGGACAAGGTAGCCCAATAAAATGAGCTTCCCATTCTTATAAATTAAGTTCTCTCCTAACTATTGCAATGTCGCAAGTTAGTCAACTTTAGAGCTCAATACTTTAAAATATAGACCATTAAAATATCATTTTTAAGTTAAATTAAATATTTAATTTAAAAATTTAGGTAATGATCACTAATTTGCCCATAAAGAGTACCCAATACACTTACGATTAAATGGTGACACATATTTATCACCAACAGTAATATATTCCATCTCACTGAAGAGGCCAATCCTCTCCATATCCGTTTTTCCTCCTTCTATAGGCATGGTTGCTTCTTATGGTGGTAACTTCAAAAGTTTCTTTCTTGTTGCTTCGTTTATAGCAAAAGCTTACTTTTACATTGAGAAAAGGGGGAGAGTAGCCAAAAAGCAATTATTAAATTTCAATCCACATTATTTTCAGTGTAAGAGTTTTAATATTCACTATAAAACAACAGTCTCAAACTAAGTAGAGAGAAATCAACTCTGTGGAATACTAGAACACTGAGATTTAAAATTGTCTCTTGACTCTTCATGTAAAGTGCCCATAATTCCAAAGGAATGTGTGTGATATCATCTGCCATTTCTCTCTTGGAAATGATAAAATTATTACCATAAAGTGTACTATAAATATGTATAAACAATCTCCTTCATTTGAGAAGTTCAATGTAGATTCAAAATCATAATTATATAAGGTAAACATTTTGTAGTTTAAATGAGATCAGGCACATTCAGAGTGGTATGATCCCAGACTACACATTTGATAGTTTACATAAAATGTTCCCCATATTGAAAATTATAACAGTTTTTCAGAATGCACACTGCATATAGGTCTTGCCCTGCTGACCTTGGGTTTTTTTTCAACTTCAAATTAGTATAAGAAATGTGCTACTCATAAAATTAGTTCCTAAAGAGAATGAGGGAGAGGACAATTGTTTAAGGCAAGATGAAAACACAAACAAAACAAAAAAATCCACAGTGAATTCTGAAGATTTGTTAAAAGGCAGACTGCAACTTTTTAAAATAATCACTTCAAACAAAGGAGAAATGTCACATTAAACATGTAAGTATTAACTCAAAAAAAAAAAAAAAAAACCAAAGAGCTAAAGAATACTTGCTTCCATTCATCTGTTATGGCTTGGATATGAAGTGTCCCCCCAAAGCTCCTGTGTTAATGAAGGAATGTTCAGAGGTTAGATGATTGGATTGTGGTGGCTGTAACCTAATCAGTTCATCCTAGTTGGAATGTACTGGGTGGTAAATGTAGAGTGGGGCCATGGCTGGAGGAGATGGGTCACTGGGTATGTGCCATGAAAGGGTTCATCTTCCTTGTGGCATCTTTCCCCCTCTATGCTTCCTGACCCCACTATATAACTGAGCAGCTTCCCCACAAGTCCCAAATAATCTTGTTCTCTAATAAACATTTCCTCCTCTAAGTTGTTTTTGTTAGGTATTGTCACAGCGAAGCAAAGCTGATTAAAACATTACTCTAATGTTTTTGAGCTATTTATTTATTCATTTTTCTTGGTGCTAGGGATCAAATCCAGGGCCTTTCACATGTTAAGCAAGCACTCTACCACTGAGCTACATTCCCAATTTTTCTACGGAAAGTCTTTTTCCAGGGGTGGTATTGGGGAGAGAACTTAGGGCTTTTGTGAATTCCAGGCACGTGTCTCCCATGAGCTACATTCCCAGCCCCTACATCTTTATGTATTTAAGCAACTATTAGGAAGTAGGCACTGGGCATACATTAGTGGGGGGAAAAAAACTTTGGTTTATGCTTCTTGGTTTATAATCCAAGGTAAGAGTCTTTTATCTTTAATTTAAAGCAAGCTGTTTCAATGACTCAGCAAGCTTCCCTATTTGGAACTGTGCTTATCTGTGTATGAGTCATTACTTAACTTGTAACATCAAAGGCCTAAGTGAAGATTCAGCCTAAAAATACAGCTTGAGAAAATACAACACACTTTCCCTATCCCACCTCTTCTTCTGATCAGGTATGCCTGGAGACTACACATCAGTCATTAGGGGTGTACTATATGGTTTACAGTTTATTTCAAGCTCCACCCCAACTGACCAACTAACTAGTATCCTGTGCTGCTACAGGGGTTCAAATCCTTAATGTGGCCCACCAGGTCCATTATCGGCCAGCCTCATTAGTCACCACCGGAACCTACTCCCTGGATACTTGGCTGCACTTGTCTAATTTTCAGGTTGGGCTTTCTCGCCCGCAGTCGCCAGTGCATGTTTCATTTTGGTATGTCAACCCCTTTCTTTCTGTCACCCCAATAAAACACTGATCTTCCTATTGCTCAGTTTGTTCATCATTTCTCTAATACCCCTCATCATAGCTGCATGTACATCTCCTTCCACACCTTCATCATGTTATCTAATAGGTCAACATTTTATATTTTTGGTGTAGGAATTCTTTGTTTTCCCCATTTTGTTTCAGCTAAAATGCTGACTCCACAAAAGCAGGAACTGTGATATGAGTTTGGTTCATCTTCACCAATTTTTTTGAGAAGGGAGTCCTCCTTTGTTGCCAGGGCTGGATTCAAAACTCTTAGACTCAAGGAATCCTCCTGCCTCAGCCTTCCAGTAGCTGGGATTGCAGGTGCACGCTACCTCCAATGGCTAATTTGGTTCATTATTGTGCTATTATTCCCAGTACACAGCATCTGGCACCCAGTCAAGTGAGCCACAGAGCAAGGGAAGGAGAAAAGTTCTTGCCCTTAACTTTCTCACTACTTAACTCTTCTTGAGCTACAGTTACAAAATCATTCATTCATTCATTTAACAAATACTTGGCAAATCCCTCCTCCGGGGTAAGGCTCCCAGGTAATAGCAAGGAAAACTGAGACCTAAAAAAGGAATAGATCCTACCCACCCCCCTCCTCGGGAGCTGACAATCTGCTAAGGAAGAAAATAAGTACAAGGCAAGTGGAATGCGGCGGGTTCTCTTCAAAAGGCATGGACAAAGCGCATAGCGGGATGAAGAAGGAGCAGAAAACTTCTGGCTGAGGCGATGATGAAATTATTTCCCATTAGGAATAAGAAGGCTTGGAGTAGACAGGTATCTAGGGGACAACACCTGGTGTCTGCGAGGAACAAGTCGCCTCTCCGAAGGGCACCTGATCCGACAACCAAGATCAGATCGTCCCAGCTCCGGTCCGGATTTACTGCGCTGCAGGAGCAACTAGGCTCCGCGTCGCCCTCCCGCGCGCTAGGGATTCCCGCCGGGCGCGCAGGCTGCGAAAAGACTCCGCACGTTCGGTGCACCGCTGGGGCTTATTGTGCTGCGTTGCCCCGGGTACGGGAGAAACTATTCCAAGTAGGCTAAGGGAGGACACGAGGAGAGTTCCAGTCAGCATAGGAAAACACACGGGACGACTTGTGAGGGTCTATAGGATACAAAAGACTCAGTCAATCCAATATATCGAAAAAAGTCTTTCGTTTCCCATCCTTCTAGCCATCGGCGAGGAGATGTAAAGTGGTACGTTCTGTGACGTATTGCTACCGGGCATGCTGGGAATTGTAGTCCCCCGCCCAAGCCCTACCCTTTGGCTGGCGGTGACGCCACTTCCCGGGCGGCCCCAGATCCTCTAGCCTGAAGTAGACGTCCTTGTCACCCCCACGTCGTGGAAATGGTAAGCGCTTGTGTTCGTCACCGACCCCTGCGTTTCCCCTCGGACCTGGGCAGCCGGCGCAAGTACGGGTCCGAGCCCTTGAAGGGAGGCGGGCTCCCCGGCCCGCGAAGGTCGCTGCAAACTATGTTGTCTGGAGTCTGCAGCCTTGGCCTCTCTCCCAGCTGCAGCCAGAGGGAATCTGTCCACTAACTCTTGCACCCTCGGCCCAGCTGCGTTGGGATACTCGCTCCCTGCCTCTCCTCCTTGTGATTTTTTTTTTTTTAGAATGAGGCATTATTCGTCGTATTTGAAGGCTATTATTAAGAAAGAGGATTTTGAACTAGGAAAGAGGAATAGCTGTTCAAATAAATACTCTGTTCCCTTAGCTTCGGTGTTGCACTCTCCTGGTTTTCCTCCTGTCTCATAGTTCAGCCAGGTCCTCCAATCCCTATCCTAGATTAACAGGAACACTTTACATCCTATGCTTTCTCCCAATTTTTTATCTCCCGCTTAGTCCTTTCTTCTGAGCTCCAGATTCATAAATCTGCTAACTGTGCCTCCACTTGGATTGCTCATATATATTTCAAACCCTGCAGGTTCAAAATTGACTCATCATTTTCACCTTCCTCACTCCACATCTGCTCTTACTCCAGGAATTTCCATCTCTGCACAGGACACCACAATCCACCTGCCAGCCAAAAACTTGGAAATCACCCTTAACACCTTCCTTTTCTCAAATGAATGTCCAATCCGTAACCAAGTCCTATAGATTCTACTTCTAATTGCCTGTCCATTGTCACTCTCTCCACTGTTGCCATCCTTGTCCCTGCTACTGTTAGTTCTAACTATCTAGGGTAGTCTCCTAAGTGGTCTTTTAAGCAGGCCTTCGTGAGTCCATGCCCTTGTTGGAATGGGCTCTTCTATCTCCAACCCCACTCTGTTCCTCTGGAAGTGTTAATACTTCTGCTACTCCTACCTACTCAACTGTCACATCTTAGCTTAAATATTATTTCTTCAGAGAGGATCTTGATTCAGAAGTCCAGGGAGACTCCCCTGTTTTCACATATAAAATGTTCATGACAACCCTTCTTTTCCCAGTTTTACAGAAGAGAAATAGATTTGAGCAATTAAACTGGGCAAAATCATGCAGTAAGTAGCAGAATTAAAATCTGCTCTTGCCTGTCGTTTTAGCTTTTACCTTCTTTTTAAAAATATTTTTTACTCAAATGTCCATATACTGTTTGTATGGTAGTATTGATCTTTATATAACCAGCTTCTTACTGAGGGCTACTTCAGTGGTTTCTTCCCCCCCCACC